ACCCAAATGAATCTACATGTGTATCCACTTAGTGGTATAACCACAAAGAGAAGAACTAGTCTAAGGGACTTTAAAGGATGGTAATTTGACTTTATATACCTCATAAAATATGTCATAAGGATGAAAGGAACTGAGAATAATCTTTAACTGTGCTGGTAGTACTGTCATTTTGCAACTGTTATGTGTGTCTTGTGGGATAAAGCAAACGTGTCATTAGGGTGCTTTCTTTCAGAACTAGGTATTTCCTCATGGGGCAAAAAGGAGACAGATTAAGATCACTGAAAGGAAGTAAAACCCTGTAGCCCTGGAGCTGAATTTGAAGCATCAGAATGAACTCTTGACGTATTTGTCTTTTCAAAATACTTATTCTTAGCTCTGCCCACCAAAGGCCTGGAAACAATAATCAACCCAAGAGCAGTGAGCACCCCAGTGTCTGGCCCCTAAACACCATTTCCCACTCAAAGGAATAAGGGCCCTTTGGAGAAATGGCTGACGTTGGGTCTGGGGCAGGAAATGTGTAACATGGGGCTGAAACAAGGAAGTCCGTTAAGGCTGGGTCAGAAAGTTCCAGTTCGACTTGAATAGGCTCACAATGGCCAAACACAAGATGGCCGACAAAACTACTGTATAGTAGCACCAATACAGGGAATAAGTGGAAAACATTTATTCTGTGAGTGTTTCAGTCCATGAGTTCATAATGACAATTTAAAAAAATAAGACATAGTGGAGACCTTTGGAAGATTCTAGGGGGTCCAGATCAGTGCTTCAGAAAATCTGGCATTTATCCTGCCTTCCCTAAGGAGACTGTGTGCCAGGGTAAAGCAAATAGTAGATGAAGGGAGTTACGTTTTTATAGAAGTGTTCTAAATACCAAATAAATGCTGGAATTTGAAATATACCATTTTATTTATTTTTTAAAGTTTCTTTTTTATTGAGAGAGAGAGAGCAGGTGGGGGAGGGACAGAGAGGGAAACAGAATCTCAAGCAGGCTCTGGTCTATCAGTGCAGAGCCCGACTTAGGGCTCGAGCTCACGAATGGTGAGATCATGACCTGAGCCAAAATCAGGAGTCATACACTTAACCAACTGAGCTGCCCAGGTGCCCCTAAATCTGCCACTTTATAGCCACTAATGAATTAATGGATCTAGGAGTAGGCAATGATTATTAATGACTTATAATATCACAGTGACAGAAACAGACAGTATATGTTCCATCCTGTGGACATAACACATTACCACCTTTAGAGTGGTCAGGCCAAAAACTCAAACACGAGTCTAATCAAGCCTCTAAATCAGGGGGTGGGAAACTTTTCCAGCAGGGTAGATACTAGACATGAGGTCTGTGGGCCACCTGGTCTCCACAGGTCCTACTCAACTCTGCCATTGTAGCTCAGAAGCAGCCACAGGCCACACATACACGACAGGCATACTGTGTTCTGCTGAAACGTTATTCACAAAAACAGGCTGGCACACAGGCCATGGTTTGCCAGTCCCTGCCCCAGAATCTAGATCTAACTTATGGTGTACAGGAAATACAGAGAACAAAGGAATATATTACATGACACCATAAAAATGCAGCCTACAAAATTCAGACTGAAGGAAACTGTTCAGGACAAAGTGCCTAGTTTCTTCAACAACAACAACAACAAAACAGAACCAAAAAAAAGCAAGAGATACAAAGAATGGGAAAGGAAATTCATATTTTAGACATAAAAGTCATATCAATCAGTCAAAATATTTGGGCTTTAGTAAATACCAGTTCCAACAAACTTTGAAAAAAAGAAGATAACCATGGAAATAAATGATGCCATTAAGGAATGACAGTGGTGCCTCGTGATTGTTTTTGAAAGAGTTTATATGTTTAGACATACACGTTGAAACGTGCTATGATGGGGGCATGTGGGTAGCTCGGTTGAGCAGCAGGCTTTGGCTCGGATCATGATCTTGTGGTTTGTGAATTCAAGCCCCACGTGAGGCTCACTGCTATCAGAGCAGAGCCTGCTTTGGATCCTTTGTCCCCCATGTCCTTTCTCCTCCCGCCTGTGACCTCTTTCTCTCTCTTAAAAAAAAAAAAAAGATATGATATCTGTAATTTACTTCCAAGTAATGGGTAGGGCTCTAGGTAAAACTGTGCGTTGGCTCTTAGGAAGGTCAGGTCATGGCTACATGGGGGCTCACTGGACCAGTCTTTTCCATGTTTGAAGTTTTCCCAAATTAAAAGTTGGAACAGGGGCGCCTGGGTGGCTCAGTAGGTTAAGCATCTGATTTCGGCTCAGGTCATGATCTTATGGTTCGTGAGTTCAAGCCCCACATCAGGCTCTGTGCTGACAGCTCAGAGCCTGGAGCCTGCTTCAGATTCTGTGCCTTCCTCCCTCTTTGCCTCTCTCCCCTGCTCATGCTCTCTCTCTCTCTCTCAAAAATGAATGGATGTTAAAAAAAAAAAATTAAAAGTTGAAAGAAACACAAAACATAGATTCAGCAAGAGAGATGACAAACGTACACGCAGGTGAAGAAAAATAGCTTTAGTTTGCTGGTCAAGAGCCTTTGGAACAATTAAGTGGAATCAGGCTCATGGGATTTCCTGTTTGTCCCTTAGAATCAAAGACAAGCCAGAGTGGATCACATCCACCTGATGTTTCTGAGTGACCATCCCCTCCTGTCTGTCTCAGAGGGAGACAGGTCCAAGGGCTCCCGGGCTTGGGGCTGACGGCCCAGGGCACTGCTAGCTGCTCACCCAACAGGTGTACACCCTCCCTGGCATCAGCAGCGGGATTTCTTCAGGGTTGCCAGTACCCATTTAACAGATACTCAGCCCCTGTGGCAGCAGAGCTGGCCAGCCAAGCTGGTTTTGGCCGCTGATTTGGCTGCTGACCTATAACCGGAAGTCAGGGCTTCCAAAACTACTTTATTTTCTGAATTAAAAGGGATCTACTCAGCAGGTGTGGATATCCCAGCTTATCCTAGGTATACTCAGTGCCTGAAGTAGTAGGGGCAGCATTGTGACCATAAAGATAAAGGTGATACTCCACGATGGTGGGGGGGGGAGGGAGAGAGAGAGAGAGAGAGAGAATGAATGAACCTGGAACATCATGGAGTCATTGCCACAGGCTTATCTACCTGAACTTTGTGCCACACAAGAAAAATTAACTCCTGTGTGGTTAATCCACGGTGGTAAGGCTTCTGTTACCTGTCACTGATTTAATCACCGCCCCACCCCCAAGTATCCAAAATTAACCTCCTGGTCTCCTCTGAGCTGCCTTCTCGATCTTCCTCAGCTCCATAAATGGCATCTTTGGTCTTTAAGGCACTCAGACCCAAACTCCTGACTCTGTTTTTCCCTCTCGCTCCACATTCATCCATCAGCCATGCCCGCTGGGTCCCCAGTCTCACCCCTAGCTCCACGGCGATCACCCTAGTGTGAGCCACCGGCACCTCTAAGGGGGTCTGTGTCACGAGCCCCTGACTGGTCTGCTGCAGCCCTGCCTCCTACAGCCTATTCTCCACCACCAGGGGGTTCCTTTTGAAATACAAGTACTTGCTGTCCTCCGACCCAAATCCTCTCACTTCCCTTTGGGCCTGAAGCGCTGCCATGGATGACCTCGCGTCCTGGCACACAGCCCTCCTCCACCCGGCTCCGGCCCCACCGGCTTCCTCGGTGATCCTGCAGCGAACCAGGCGGGCTTCTGCTTCAGGCTTTCACCTTTGCTCCCCCCTCCGCCTGAGTTCTCTTTTCTTTTTTAAAGCGTATTTATTTTGAGAGAGAGAGAGAGAGAGAGTGTGTGTGTGTGTGAGCCTGCAGGTTGGGGAGGGGCAGAGAGAGGAGAGAGAGGGAATCTCAAGCAGGCTCCATGCTTGTCAGCACAGAGCCCGATGTGGGGCTTGATCCCACTAACCATGAGATCTTAACCTGAGCTGAAATCAAGAGATGTAGGACGCTTAACAGACTGAGCCCCCCAGGTGCCCCCCAGGTTCTCATTTCACGAATGTCCATGCGGCTCATTCCTGAAATTCTTTCAGATCTCGTAGCTGTCACCTGACCAGGCCAGAGAAGCCTTCTGAGCTGGCCGTTTTCTTGTTTGCACTCCTGTCCCCTCCCCACGCTCCTCGGACATGCTCCGCATTTCGGGGAACCGCATTTCCCTGGCTTCCTCGTCCCCGGCTTCTGGTGGCTGTGCCCACGGGACGCAGAGGCAGGAAGAAGGCTGAAGGCAGGCAGGCAACAGGAAGGAGCCCAGCTGTTTGTCTCTCTCTTCAGGCTGTGTCTCTGGCACTCACCGTGTCGACTCTGGGACCCTGGGTCCTCAGACAGCCCCTCCATCTGGGGTCCCCATCCTGCTACACAGGCTCCCACCAGGTGACTCAGCACCTGGGCTCCAGTGACAGAACTACCTCCCTCTGTTGGCCATGCTGGGGCTTGTGTGGCTTTCCAGCTCTTCCTTCACCTGCGTAGTCAAGTCCTCGTATTAAGTCCCTCTGTTTCAAACACCAACTGGGCCCGACTGGGCCTGACTGGGCAGCCTTCCCTGATGACCCTAAATGCCCTCACTCCCTTCCCTGTCACCGTCCACTTCTCCTGCTTTACTTCCCTTGTGGCTCCTATCAACACCTGCTAGAGTTTATACTTATTTGTTTCCTGAATTGCCTAACTCTCCACCGGCATATAAATGAGCAGGTAGCCGGACGGTGTGCTGTGTGGGGCCTGGCACAGCGCAGAGCTCACGTTAACGAGCCAGTGTTCTTTCATTTGTTTAAGAGATCTTGAGACGCACTCTCCCCAGCCCGGCACTGGACACGGGAGCCAGAGAGATGAACAAGGCCAACGTTTCTATCTGGACACAGGACAGGGTGGTGGTGAGAACCCAGCCGCCCTCCCTGTGTTCGCCTGTGGTGCTTCCAGAACGGGGTGCAGAACCACGTGTGTGGGAATGGAAGCCCCTCGAAGAGGGAGATCAAGTCTCTCATCACCACGTGCCAGACTCCCCGTAGGGAAACACCACTCACCTGACCTGGAGTGGGATCTTGGGCACCTTCTTAGAGACCTTGAACCGTCCTCTGTCCCCATAGATGTCGGTGAAGTACACTCCGGCCACACTTGTCACCTGGTTCCCAGGGAACCTAGACAGCAGGTCGTCACGACCGTGCTGACTGGCCCAGTACCAGGCTTGGCCCCCATTGAGCAAGCCGCCTCCACATTTCACAAACTGGATCAGCTCTGCAGTCATCTTGTCCTGGTAGGCATTGATGCAGTAAACCCCCGAGGGGGCCCCCAGTTCTGGCTGAATGTGTGCCTGAACCCCACGGCCCTGCAGGATACTTACTAGTGATGCCAGGGAGGGGTGCACTCCAACGGGAGCCCCAGGCGAGGGACAGAGCCAGCCCACGGCATTGAGAAGGAATGGAGCCAAGCCGGCATCCAGCAGGTAGCCCTCGTGCGACACCACCACCAGGCGGCCTCGGCCATAGAAGGAGGCGGCAATGAGGACCTGGCCCTTGTCATTCACCATCACTGGGAAGGCGGCCTCTCCAATCAAAAGAAGTTCACTCGGGATGGGGTCTTTGGGGACATTCCAGCTTGTCACTCCATCCATGAGGGCCTCGAAAGCACCGGCCGGAGTTGTCGCCATGGTTGAACCAGCTGCGGCAGAGATGAACGACTCCACTGGGTCAGAACTGGGGAAGGATCAAGTGAAAACACGGCGACTAAATGCATTCGAATGAAAACCGGGGGGGGGGGGGGCACAGCAAGGCACGTGCCAACAAGACCCTCCCGTTCATGAATCTCCCACCTCAGCAGGGGAAGGACAGTAAATAGACAGGTAGAGAAACAAAGCAATTCATAACCATTAGGATGAAACTTAAGACAGTGACGTGGCATCAAGCAACTGGAAAGTCACTTGAAATTGTTTGGTAAGAAAGGCCTCAATGAGGACGTGCCCTTCAAGCTGGAAGCTGACGTTTCAGCTGAGACATGGGAGAGCATGCTAGCCCAGAGCAGCCCCGGGCAGGGCCAAACAGGACCTGAGTGGCCGGGGTGGGGGTTGAGGGGCAGCTGGGTCCTGCACGGCCTGGTACAGGGTGACAGCCAGTGTGCACGAGCTGACTTAGTGTTGTGCTGCATCTCTGTGGGTAAAACGGTCATGTGACCTTGCAGAAAACTGCATTTTTGGGGACAGTTTTGACTAAGTGAGTTGAAACGCCTCCCCCATTTATCATATCTGCCCTAAGAGTTCCCTATCTCTGTGTGGGTAGCTTTCTTTTTCCAGGCATCTTTTATTATTTTTTTTATTTTTTACGTTTAATGTTTTGTTTATTTCTGAGAGAGAGACAGCATGAGCAGGGGAGGGTCAGAGAGAGAGGGAGGTACAGAATCTGAAACATGCACCAGGCTCTGAGCTAGCAGTCAGCACAGAGCCGGACGCGGGGCTCAAACCCACAAACCGTGTGATCATGACCTGAGCCGAAGTCGGATGCTTACCTGACTGATCCACCCAGGCGCCCCATCCAGGCGTCATTTAAAATTCAGTATGCCGGGGGCGCCTGGGTGGCTCAGTCTGTTAAGCATCCGACTTCGGCTCAGGTCATGATCTCATGGTTTGAGGGTTCGAGCTCTCTTTCGGGCTCTATGAGCCTGGAGCCTGCTTCTGATTCTGTGTCTCCCTCTGTCTCTCTGCCCCTCTTCCATTCATGCATTTTCTCTCTCTCAAATATGAATAAACATTAAAAAAAAAAAACAGTGCGCCTAAAATTGAGCTGTTCTTATCCTTAAAGCAGCTTTCTTGGATATATTACTTAAGCCTCAGTTTACTCACTTATAAAAAGAATATACATTCCTTGGAGGATTGATGGTGGAGATTAAGAGAAAACATATTAAAACACCTCGTTCTGGGTACACAGTGCGTGAGTGCTGAGAAAACATGAGGGTCTGTCCCTATGCTGACCTTTCTAACTTCCCTAAGTGACAAGGGCCATGTTCTGGGTGCCTGTCCCTTCCCCTGGCCCCACCGCCGACTTCCTCAGCTGAGCACCCAGACGCCTTCTCACCTCGGCAGGTGCACAGGGGGACGTGGAGGGCGTCGGGGCTGCGTGCCCCAGTGGCTGTCCCTAGGTGCGTCCCGGAGCTCCTCAGCAGGCACCCGAGGACCTGAGCTCCAGCTGCCCACAGCGGTGAGCAGCCCAGCCCCCTGCCCTTCGCTGCCTTTCCCTCCTTCCTGGCCTCCCCCTCCCCACTCCCTCACTGGCACTGGGGCTCACTTCCCAGATAGACTACCCGACTTACGTCCTTGTAGCAGGCTTCACTTTGGGGAAGAATTGAAACTAAGTCGCCAAAGCTTTCCTCTCCCTTTGCCTCCTTCCTTCCTCTCTCCTGTTTCCAGGGACAGCCGGCCACCTCTCACACATGAGTGAGCGCCTTCCGTTTGTGTTCACATCCAGACTAAACCGATCCGGCTTTAGCCCCAGGATGGATTCTCACCTACGATCGTCTCAAGCCATCCTACCCACTTCTCTCTGTAATAAAAACCCTCCGATTTCACCCAGTCTCCATAAGGTAAAAGCTGAGTGCCTCGCCCTGGATTTTAAGGCCTCCATGGTCTGGGCTCTCCCGTGTTCCAGACTTTTTCCCTGCTGCACTCTCTGCAAACCACCAGCAGGCGTGGCATCCCTGAGCATGCCCCGTATTTCCTGTAGAAGTCAAGCTCCTGCTCACCCCTTGACTCCCCGTCCCACCTAACCACCTCTTTCTCAGTTATGCTCCCAGGAAAGTAAATTCACACTAGTGAGTCAGTACCCACATCGAGCATCGTGGGCAGGCTGGGCGAGTGATCTCAGCTTTCTGGTTCAGGACTAGGGAAAAAGCGAAAGAAGGAAGCCTGAGGTCAAGATGATGTTAATTAACTACCTTGGAAAGGGAAGTCTTTCACTACTCTGGGCCTCTCTAGTTTAACAAGAAAAGCAGACAAAACCCCCAAGAGATGAGTAATAAGAGTTACTCCAAACTCTGATCTCAACTCCCTAGAAGTAGGTGCGCGCGCGCGTGCAGACGCGCACACACACAGGTATCCATCTTCGTCAAATTCTCGATTCACAGGTTCAAAGAGGCGAGAGAAAGGTGTTGAGAGAAAAACAGCAAATAGCACCAGACTGAGTACACGAAACGAAACCCGGGACCGAAGCAGGGAGAAACTCGCCAACCGAAGCAACGTTCCTGGCCCTGCTTCTGGCACCAAGCGGCGCCGCGGCGAGCCCAGATCCTCCGCCCCCGACCCCCCCTCGCAACCCTCTCGGGTTGGTAAACTCACGATCAGTAGTCGGGTCCACGGCGCTAGCTCCGGGCGTGGGGCACGGGAGCAGTGGCGCAGCGGGCGGTCTGGGGGCCTGAGGGAGGAGGCAGGCGGGGCGGGGCGCCGATGGGCGGTCTTGGGGTCCGGTGGAGAAGGAGCGGAGTGGGACCCAGAGGCGGCCGTGGTGAGGCGTGGCATGGGTGGGGCGTCCCGGAGGAAGGGCGCCTAGTGGAGGGGGCGCGGCTGGCGAACCTGGGACGGGCGGGCGGGGCGCAGGGGGCGGTCCAGGGGCAGAGCTGGCGGGGCGCAGCTGGCGGGGCGCGGCTGGCGTGGCGGCCTGTCAGGGGGCGGAGCTATCGGGGTGCGGGAGGCGTGGCGGCCGGTCAGGGGGCGGAGCTATCGGGGCGCGGGAGGCGTGGCGGCCGGTCAGGGGGCGGAGCTAGCGGGGCGCGGGAGGCGTGGCGGCCGGTCAGGGGGCGGAGCTGGCGGGGCGTGGCGGCCGGTCAGGGGCGGGGCCAGAGGGGCGTGGCAGGCTATCAGGGGGCGGAGCTGGAGGGGCGTGGCAGGCGGTCAGGGGGCGGAGCTGGCGTGGCGCGGCAGGCGTGGCGAGCGGTTAGGGGGCGGGTGTGGCGGGGCGCCGCGGGGTTGAAGCGGGCTGGGGATGGGGGGGCGGGGCTCGGTGGGCGGTCCGAGGCGGGGCGCGGCGCGGCTGGGGCGGTTCGTGGGCGGGACAGACAGGGAGGGAGGCGAGGCACTGTGTCCCCGGAGTCGCCTCCGAGAAGCCCCTCCCGGTCCGCTGCACTTGGGGTGGCGTTGCCGCTTGCGGGGCTCTATTGGGTGCGTTCCTCCCAGGAGGCGGGTTTCCTCGATCTGCGGGGGGCGGGGCGGAGAGCGGCTCTCTCAGGCCCTCCGAGAGTTCCGGGGTACGAGAGGGAGCTTTGCCGGAAAGCAAACTCCAGGTCTCCAGGAAACCAGGTTCGGGGCAAGCAACGCCCGACGACAGCGAAACCCAGGGCCGAGGGGTCACGGCGTGGAAGCGCGTCCCTCCCCTCGGGTGGTGGGCTGCAGCGCCAGAGAATAGAGGCTCTGCGTTGAAAGGCTGCCCCCTGGTGGTCTTCACCCGCCCATGCAGCCCGTGCTCGTGGAGTTTTCCAGGCTGTCCAGGGCACTCCAGCTAGGGAACTAGGTCTGGGAGTCGAAGAGAGATCGGTGCCAGAGATATTCTTGTGTCAGGAGTTTTATTATGTGTATTCCGTGTGCAGCACTCCTTGCTAGCAAGACAAAATTTTCTTCTCTTAGAAAGCGACGCTTTTTCTTACCTTAGCGCGGCCGTCACTTGCCTCGGAAAGAATTTCCTAACCTCCAGATTACACCAAATCCTCCTCCCGACTACACTAGACACCTCTTCTTTCCCAGGCTGCAATTCCACACTCGCTTGTATGACCACTGATTACCGCTGGTTCCTCCCATAGCCTCTCCTGCTGTGAGTGCCGTCTGTCTCCGTCGTGTCCATCCTTGCATCCTCACTGCCAGGGTTCATTCCTGTCGCGTAGTAGGCTTATTGTTTCTTAGTAATCACGTAAAAGTGTGTGATTAAATAAATCAATAAGCATATAGGGAATGTTCAAGAAATGTGTGCTGAATTAGTAAATAACCGAGATTTGGAGGACTAGCAGAAATCTGTTTGGCAGAGGACCAAATGCAATCAGGTTTCAGAAAGAAGCCACAAGGAGAAACCTATACAAGGAAGGCGATTTGGGTAAGACCTATGGGAATTTGGGACTACTTCAGGGCGGAAGCCTAGTGTGAGCTGAGGTTAGTTGAATTCATAGATTTCATACCAGGAAGCAAACCTTTGAGAAGCCAAGTGGGAGCTGGACACTGAGCGAGTGTATCAGGAAAGTTCCATGTCAACTGCAGAGTTTAGGGGCTCTTTTGTATTTGAGCTCTAAGGGTTTAACCAGTCTCTGCCCACATCATTGTCACACTTTATGGTCAAGTACCACAATTCTAGAAAGACTCCTGCAAGTATTCTGGTGTTGATCTAATAGAAGAAAGGGTTTCAAATAAAGGTGAATTTTTCAGGGCCAGAGAGCAAAAGGTACCTGTGGTCATTAGGGTACCTGCCATTTGGGAACAGAAGTTGGCTGAAGCATGGAAACAAAACAACATAGGAAACAGCATGAAGTCCCATTTAAAACCTAGCAAATGAAAGATGGTGGCCAGCATGGGTCTGACTAAAGGGTCACTGCTCATGTGCAGACCCCCAGACCCTTCCTCCAGACTAGGAGAAAACAGAGACTCCTCCATGAAAGCAGATTCTCACTGGGCACGTATTCTTTGGGGTGCTCTGAGAGATGGAAGTGATGGTACAGTCAACAAGACAGTAGACAGGAAAGAACTGTAATACCATAAGGATTTACGTAGGTCTCACAATCAGCTGAAAAATAAGTGCCAGGGAAGAGAAAGGAAGAAGCAATTATTTCTAGTCATCAGAGATGAACTTACAGGGAAGGGGCCACTAAAACTTAGCTTTGCAAAAGCATAAATGTTATTTGTGGGCAGAGAAGAGTCGAGGGCAGTATACCATGAGGCCACATCGCAGTCCACGGCATGGAGATGTCCTTGTGAAAGCTTGATTTGAGAAAGACAGTGTTCATTGTGACCAAAGTTTGTTAACGGCGCTTACAGGAGTGAATTCTGATGGCAACCAAGGAGTTTGAATTGTAGTCTGTGGTCTGGAGGAAGGTGTTTTTTGTTTTTTGTGTTTTTTTTTAATTTTTTAAGTATTTATTTTTGAGAGAGAGAGAACGCTCAGCAGAGAGAGAGAGGGAGACACAGAATCCAAAGCGGGCTTCAAGCTCTGAACTGTCAGCACAGAGCCTGATGCAGGGCCTGAACTCACGAACCAAGAGATCATGACCTGAGCCGAAGTCAGATGCTTAATGAACAGAGCCACCCAGGCGCCCCTGGAGGAAGGTTTTTAAGAAATGCCATGTCCATGTCGTAAACACTGAGATTCCCTCCTCCATGTCTGTTCTCCCCTGCTCCACCTCTCCTGCCCTTTCTAAGCAGATCCCATTTTTGTTCGGATAAACTCCCTCTCCCTTAAGAGATTCAGGGGAAAATGGAGCCATTTCCAGTACGAAGGGTAGGTATGTCTTAGCTTAAGCCAAGCATGCCCATCCCTGTCCTTTGTGCTACAATGACTGACTCCTTCTGGGTTATACCTAATAATATACATGAACAATATGATACTTAATTGTCCAGCACACGCAGGGGGCATAGGGGTCAGATTTTACTGTTACCACTGGTACGCCAGTCCATTTTTGTAAAACAGAGGAAAATCCGTGCAGTAATTCCATTTTCTCACAAAGCCAAATGCAGGGGTTACTTAACACACAAGCTTTCTAATTAAGGGCTAACATTAATAGTCACTGACTTCCTTCTTCAATTATTTTTAGCTCTGAGTTAAACTTAATGTGGTCCCATATACTCTTTCCCTGAAGGGCCTCAAGAATCTGGGAAGGATTAGCCATGGTCTAATTTAGGAATAGAGACGGTTGAATGCACCTATGTGCTTTTATTGGGATGAGTCACTGGGGAGGTTTACGAAGTCACTATTTAAGATGATCCAGAACAGGTGTCCACAGATGCTTGAAGAGTAAGTACTGTAGCGGCCATGAAAAGGCTCCAGTCAGATCTCCAACTGCAGGCAGCAGGTATGTAAGTGACAGGCGGCCCCAGCTGGTGTGCCCTGGAATCCTGGGGGACGGGCCATGGATTCCCCTGGCTTCTCCTGGCTGGTGATGAAGTGTACCAAGGCTATTAAGGCAGGCCCATCCCTGGGAGACGCGGGACTCCTGCTGGGTGACTCTGGCTCAAGGACTCCCATTGGCCTTGACGCGACTTTCTCTGAGGCCTGCCCCACGGAAGCCTTTCCTGCCTTTGCTGTCTCCTTCATGAGGATGAAACCTCCCTCACAGTCCAATGGCTCCCCCAGCCTCTTCTGGTCCCTCTCCATTTTCTCTCACAGAAGTTTCCCTTGAAATAAATCTGCACATCTGATCTCCTCTTGGCCCCTGCTGCCTGGAGGCTCCAGGCCAGCGCATGTGCTGTTGTGATTCTATCTCCAAAAGTTCAAATGCTCAAGTGCACTTATCAAAATTGTGTCCTAGAGGGAGTAAAGAGCAAAGTCATTAACTCGAGAGCATTTAGGAAAGCCTCACCGACTACATTTTTTTCATTCTTTAGTACGTGTCTGATAACCTTCATTCAAACTATAGCATGGCCCTACTCTAGGGCAAGTTCCTGCCTGCCTATTTATTTCAAGCAGCAGGGCTGGAATTTGCGGCTTCTCTTGACAGATGGCCAGCGCTTAATCACAGAGGAGCTTTCATGTTCTCCTTTGGTGTATTTGTGACATTAATCTAGGCCTATTTTTTTAAATCAATTTATTTATTTTAAGTAATCTCTGCACCGAGTGTGGGGCTCAAACTCATGGCCCTGAGTTCAGGAGTCACATGCTTTCCTGACTGGGCCAGCCAGGTGCTCCAGCCTGGGCCTGTGTTTTCTTTTTGGATCATAACCGTGTGGAACGTGTGTGGTAGGAGCGAATAATCTTGCAGTCACGACAGATACCCGTTCTGAAGATGTCTCCTCCCCATAAGGAACAAGAGGGGAGTCTTCATACATTTCTAAACGTGTCCCATCTCCATAAAGTTTGGTTTTGTACTGAAGATTTCAGTCGTCGGGGAGCCAGTGGAGCTGACTTAGCCCGAGGCTGTGTGTGGATGTTTCTCCTCTGGTTCTCAAATATCAGACCCATTGGGCAGGCACACAACAGATCCGGTTTCTATAATTGCACCCACACCAGTGTGGTTGATATGCTTTCATGCACAAAGTCACGAGGATTACAGATGTCAGGATGCCACAGCGGCTGGTGTACGGGAATTGGGAGTCACTGGCGGCCAGTATCCCCACAACAAAACCCCTATAGAGAATCTCAATGCTCCCAGTCCTAGGGGACCAGCAACATTATTTTTTCATGTTTTTCTGCAAGTATAAACAATCGTTTCCAAATGGATTTATTCCAGAATTACTGTAGCATCAAGGTCTTCCTTCTCCAGGCTTTTCATTTTATATCAACACATGTGATCCAAGTGTCTTTAATTTTTTTTTTA